AATTGAATATGGAATAATAAGTATGCGATTAAAAAAGATAGTAATATGATATTGTATGTCGAAATAGTCGCCAAGTCATGACGATAAAATAAAAATGAGGTGTCATATATACAAATCTAGTCTAAAAACCGAGACGTTGATATTCAAATATTAATCTATTTTATATTCTAAAATATATGAGCTAGAAATAAAAAGTACAATGCTCTTCTATTTTCCAAGTTTGTTTGAAATATTTTATCTTTGTGCTCGAAGTTTCATTTCAAAATTTACATATCCACCAATGAAAATATTTCATTAATTTTTTTATTTAAAATTTTTTTATTATTATTATTATTATTATTATTATTATTATGTCATAGAATTATGTAATTATTTATCGCAAGCTATTTCATTAAATATAAGGATCAAAGTTTATTGAATACATAGAGTTTAGAGACAGTTAGACAAGTCAAGTTCAGTATTAAAAGAATTAATTTTTCAATAAATCTTCATTATTATGTATCCAATCAATTTTTCCAATTTTCTGTTAATATATATGAAGTATGAATATACCGTAGTTTGCGCAGAAACAAATTCCTTAGTTACAAATTCAATTAATTATGGAATATTAATTATACTATTCAATTAGTTACGCTTCTTTCTTATATTGAATTTTATATTCAATGATGAATTAAAAACACGCACAAGCATTGATTATATTTATCATCGCCTAAACATCTGCTTTAACTCAATTATTAATTGTAATGATTATTTATTTTTATCTATTAAATGATTGCCTTTATCAACAGCTATAGAATACTTTTTTTTTTTTAACATACAACTGAAACTTATTCGTTCTAAAATATTGATGAAAAATTAGGTCATAAACAAGTGAATAACAATACTTGTTTCACAATTCTGTATTACCCATTACTGCTGATTTCTATTACTGCTAATTTACCGCTATTTTTCATAAAATACGTACATTACATTGTAAATAATTGAAAGTGTAATGTAATGAAAGTTTGTTATTTAATACTCGGTAATTAATGACATGTGCACTTTAGATAAGTGAAATTGATGTGTGAAAGCATGGATGAGAGTACACGTACATATTTATTTAAAACAGGTTTCTAGACTCATGTAGTATCGAACTATACCAAGATGGTATCGACCAGTTATATAGATGATTCATCAATGATAATAAATTCAAAGAAAGGTGACGACACATGGACTTTTTGTGTAACGGTTTAGTTCGAACCTCTCATTATTTGTTTTTTTTTTTTTTTTTTAGCAATAGTTTATCGATAAAAAAAACTTATGATCAAATAATATTTTATTAAAAAGAAAAAAATATATTATTTATTTATGAAAATATATGTATAGCAATATATTATACATTCGTATTTAAATACATTCATGTTTAAATTTCTTAAGAAATAAAAAAACATTGACGATTATAAAATAATTTTCATTGCATAAACGATTTTTATCTCAGGTATTGTAATATTGTAATATGTCACTATAATATTTTCATGTAAAAAATAACTTTATTAACAAAAAAATCCATTAAATACTTTAGATTATTCATTAATGAAATATAGAATATTTTTAATTATGACACTCGTAAAAGTGAAAGGATATTCTCTTGATGATACTAAGGATATAAACAGTTGATTCGATGTATGCCGACTTCCTTTTTAGACTTAAAGACATTTATTGATTTTATTAAAAAGACAAAAAAAAAAATATGTCTGATTACGAAATAAATTACAATTGCCTTTAATAAATGAAAAAATTAATCTTACTATATTTTCGCAAGAATTGAAATATTATTATTAATTTGAGAAATAATGATATCTAATATATGGGCAGAAAAATTTACAATAAAAATATATCGCAGCAATAATAAGAGTACAATTAAAAATTAAGAAATTCTATTAATAATAATAAAAGTAATGAAACAGATGTACACGTAAAATATAAACCGATATTTAGCGTTAGTTTTCATTTGTTATTTAAACTCATTTTAATTGAATCAAACAGACAAACAAAATAGACCGATAATAAAAATATCGATTAAATGTTTATTCTTTATTACAGTTATGTACAGTTATTATACTATTATACTATAATTTTGTAATTTTAAAAAACTAATGACTACAAGAGTCTTTGGACTTTTTAAATAACTTAAATCTAAAAAGTTCAATTCCAATGAAATGAAATAATATTACTATTTTCTGTAATTGTAATACATTATAAAAAAAAAAAAAAAAAATCACCTGTAGTGATATATAAATTAATATCTTAAAGAAATCTATTGAACTAAATTTCAATAATACCACATTTATAATCTATATTATTATTGTATATCAATATTTGGAAATTAACAATGAATGAATTTGTAACGCATACAATATTATCGTTAAAAAAGCGAATAATATTGAAAAATGAATTTAAAAATTTTGACACAAAAACGAGACATTTATTGGTTATTTAATATAAAATACAAAACTTTATGTTTCTTGTAAATTACCTACATTTAAGAAATTTGATTTTCAAATCATTAACATCTTTATAATGAGATGCATTAACATATTAAAAGCGAAAAACAATAATGATTGATATATAATATAATGGAAACAGAAGACCATTTAAACATTACTATATTACTTCATTGAAATAAGTCTAAAATTTTTGTTGTCATATACCCAAATAAAAGTAAGCTGAAAAATTAATTAAACACATTATCGTTCCTATTTTATATTGCCCATATACCTTCAATCGGAATACTTATAAAAAATAAATAAATATCCTGCTAATGCGCAACACTTTCTTATGGATGCAGGTACGATAAATATTTATGAGACTTGATAATTTATTGAATTAAATAAGTGCCGGTAAAGTTGTTATGATACCGACTGATTTTGCTTAATATGTATCATTTTTCCGGTTGTTGTTAATTTGTGAGCGGTGGGTGTCATCGCGGGTAGCATTTATCGATTTATTTATCCATTTACAAATGAATATCTCGTTTATTATGCCCGTTCTCTTATCTGTTATATTCCCATCCTTGACACGTAAAAACTAATGTACGATACGAAGTGCACAAAATAATGCTTTCAACCAAATACGTGTCCTTATCTCGTAATGTGCATTAATAAAAATTTAAGTTAGAATCTATTAAAAAAGTATAGGCTATAGAATAACGAACAAATTTTGTAAAGTGCCAGGCACTATAGTATTTTGCGTTTTATTTTATGAATAAGCAACTGTACGTGGCATTTGGATATTCATAATGAAGTCAAGCAAAACAATTTTAATTTACAATAAATATGTTGAAGTTGATAAATATTCTTTTTTATATATAGTTTTATGTATCTATTTATTAATTTTATAAAAAGGTTGGATTAAATGTTAACATTTACATAGGTTTTTTTTTTTTTGTAACCGTTACTATGGATAATATATACAATTATTAAAAGATAAATTTGGTAATAATAAATATTTTTATACTTGAAACAATTATTAACATCTAAATAATATATGTAATATAGTTAACATTTAATATAGAAAAATATTAATTACAGAGTTTTATTTTTCATTTTCTCTTTTGACAAAGATAATTACTACAAAAATATGTTTCATGTTTCTTCGTTTTCTTATGGATTTGTATATATATATATATATATATATATATAGTGCATACGTATATACCAAATAAAATAAAAGAATAAACACAATCACTTAATAAATATATTTGTATATCTTCAGTATTTATAATATATACTTATAGTATTCTTTTTTAATATGAAATTATTTTAATAGGCATACGGTATAGAATCTTTTTAGAATTAAAAGCACAGATTAAATTAATAAGAACTTCTTAATAAAAAAAAATTTATTATTATTTTGTTACTTTATTATTTTTCAATATTATTATTATTTTAAGTATATAAAAAATATTTATAATTAATAATTAAAAATGTGTTGTGTAGTTAAATTTCTCAACTATACATTCCAATTTTATTATATGCATTCATTAATACTGATTTCAATTTGATTTTTTCTATTTTTACAAGCCTACTTAAATAATCAATCCATAGTTTATATATTCACAATAATAACTAAGAATTTATTATGAAGTATATTAGTGCATTAAAGTATATTTATTACAAGTATTTCATTTGTTATTTTGTTTGCATACTTAAAAAAAAAAAAAAAATAAAATAAACATTAACGATATTTTAGAATATTAATCGTTATTGTTCATTGGTATATTCGTTGGTTACTAGTAAATTAACGCTTTCATTATTTAATTCATTTTTTTTTTACTACAATATAAATGAAGACATAAAAAATAACCAATGTTTTGATAAAGAAGTTTTACAGATATAAATTAATACCTATACATATATTATATGATACTCTTTGTTGAAATTATTTTTTAAGTTTGTGTTTATTTATATTGATAGGTAGAAAACTGTTTTAACGAAGATGTTTCATCATAATTGATGATAATAAAAGAAAAAAATATATGTCACAAAAGTTTGAAAAGGTAGAACGTATAAAAAAAGAAAAAAAAAGAAAAAAATAAATAAATATTATTACCAACGTGTTATTCGTATAAAATCTATTAAAATTAAAAAAAAAAAAATCATTTTTCAGGTAATGGGTCGTATGCAGATATAAACACTTGTGATTAAACGATTTGTGATAAATGTAGCTGTAGCATATAAGTAATATTTCTAAAAATTCATTAATTTCATTGTAATGTCAATTGAATTTATGATTGTATGATTTTTTTTCTTGCATTTACTAAGCGAACACTGTCAATGCTCAGCTCGCCAAAACTTCTCTCTAGCTTTTAATTAATTCAATTGATTAACAATAAGGATTATTCGTATATCATCCGCTGACCTTACTTTCACCCTAAAATACCGTGATTCTTATAATTAGAATAAACATCTCTTAGCTACAGCGGATAGTTTTTTGACTACTCATTTTAATATGTATTACAGAGCCTGACCTCGTGCTTCAAATTTTAATATCCTCACCGTCGCGAATGGAAACATTTTCATGCTAGTCTGTGAGACATGGACTATAGGTAATGAGCGTGGTCTGCTTAAATACCTCAGTGGAAGAAAACATTCATAACGGCGAGCATAAGGAAATTACTCTTACAATATCGGAGTTGGAGTCTCACCAAAAGGAGACTTCGTCCAAAGTCATCTCAACCGACGAACTGGCTCTACTAGCTAAACTGGAAGAGGCCAATAGGTAATTATCTTTCTTTCTTTTTTCTTCTTTTTTTTTCTTCTTTTTTTTCTTCTTCTTTTTTTTCTTTTTCTTTTCTTTTTCTTTTTTTAACGAAAGACTTCGAAATTCACGAATGATTATGAAGACGTTGAGCTTATCACGTAATGTTCAAACTAGAGCGTGGCTTAATCGAATCGTTGAAAGTAAAAGATAAAAGAGGGAGGCAAATTATTTTTGGTCAATTGCAATAGCTGAAGGCTATATACTAAAGAAACTTCAAAATGATATAAGTAATAATATAAATCGTGCGAAGTAGTAAATTGAAAGCTATTGAAATACTAATTGCAATAAATCAAGGTAAATTTCATATTGAAATACTAATTGCAATAAAACAAGGTAAATCTCATATATATATATATATATATATATATATATATATATATATTTAGATAGAATAAATAAGACAAGAAATAGATAATATTCAATATCATAATTTGTTGTATTTATAAGTTTTATTTTTGTTGCCTGTAATACAATCGTATCATTCGTATCTTGTGAATGTGCGTGTTGTTGCATATTTCTTTTGTAAAATAAACAAGTTCAAACAAACTCGTCATGGCGTATATCGCAATTTTAAATTGCAATTATAATTTATGAACGTTTTATTGATCAATCATAAAATTATTTACAATTATGAGAATCCTTAAATACTTTGGAAAAGTGTATATATATATATATATATATATATATATATTTGTTTAGACACGTGTCCAGCGAGTCATTTAACGATTCTCTTTATTAAACAAGCTGGTATTTATTATCTTTACCATTAATATTTAGATAGAGAAATGTTAAACAAATTCTTCAAACTGAAGTATCGAAATTTGTTATTCTTTCCCATTTGCTTACTGCATTTACTAATTTATACGTAATACAAAATAATAAAAAAATCCTTATCGCAGCCTTTTATATATCAATAATAGTTTCATCATTATCCTTACAGAATAATTTTACTACTAATTATGGAAAATTTGAACGAATACCAATCTATGCTAATAAGCTATTCTCGTTTACCTTTTTTTTTTTTTATATTATTATTATTATTATTATTATTCGAATGCCTTCTCTTCACACGCTATTTTTTCATGCGCATAACATATAATTTATGCGATGCTTACTGTTATCATCTCTTATAACATTTAATCTAGTCCGATAACGATTCAAAATTATTTATGAACGTACTTTTATTGTGTATTAAGTAACCTTTCTCATCTTTATTACTATGAATTATTTACATGATTCAACGTTAGAATTAGACATGCAATGTCTACATAAGTTGATTTACTTTTATGATGAGAGACTGGAATTCATTGAAATAATCGACACTTTCTCAGTTGCAGATTTATCATTAATTTATAAGCCGCAATTAGTTCAAAGTTAGTAGGCTACTGTTCTTACTGTCAGCATTCATTGCTCGACATATATTGCTAAAGTCGTACCTATCGCAAAAGAAATTTAATTTTTTAAGATAAACCCCCTCTACCTATTATACGAAGTATACGTAAGAATTTATGTTAGTCGCTAAACTGCCTTAGCATTACAAAATATTATCGACGATTCCATAAATAATATCCTATATTTATCGAATAGTACAACTAAACGCACTCTACATACACAACGTGAAATCTAAATGCGCAGTTCGTTTTTATCGACAACACCTCCAGCAGACGATGCCACCAGTTGACTTTTATTCCTAATCAATAGGCTAATCGAGTCGGATGCGAAGTCGCTAAGCTCACTCCAAAGCAACCACAGCAGGAAGGGCTCGGACACATCGCAGGTGTCCCTGGCATCGGGCTGCAGCGCCAATGGAACGGATGTCGCTGCAGCCCGACAACACGCCCCGGCCGATGGTGAGGAGAACACCTGGACGCTCTGGGGCAACATCGTTGCCGACTGGGATAATCAATGGAAGAAAAGAAAAGACTTCATCAAGGATCTCGTACGTCAGGGTATACCCCATCACTTCAGGTACTGGTATTTATTTATTTTTATCCCCATCTGCTCATTAGCTAATTATACTTTCGATTATATTTCGTTTTAAAATGTGTTCTCGCTTATAGGTTTAATTATAAATTATCGCTTCAATGAGATCTGTCGCGTTAAATGACGTTTATGAAATCATATATTCTTCAATTATCTGTGCTCTGCTGTGTCAATGAGAAGATTATTATTTCTACTATTTGTATATTGTAATAATTGTATACATGATTTTCAAATTAATAATACAGTAACAATTTTATATAAGTATACATAAGATGATATAACTATATACTTTTACACAATGATCCTTCTAATTTAGACGCTTTCCTCGTTTTACTTACATTATCGTCATATATTTCATTCAACCCTAATACTATAAATTCACAATGTCATTCTGGAAACATCGATATATCATAATTAAGTTTCTAATTCGCTTATTATAAATAAAGTATTTATAATTATTTATTATTTATCGAGTATTTGTCGTTGGGTCTAAAATTTTTATACATAAATTTTCATTTAAAATGATTGCTGTTTTATGTTAAGCGATATTTCCTACGTACATGAACACACATCAACACATCAACACACACGCGCGCATATTCAGACAAAATACGTCTAATAGTTTATTATTATAATTTATGAAGAATATTTAAAATGATCGAATATCCATATTAAAAAAAAAAGAAAAACGAATCTGTATTCGTCACATACAAATTATATATTAATTTGGAACGAAATTTTTATTTATTCGAAGTGCTTTAAGACCTTTTTAGAAATACCGTTTTGTATATTCAATGTAAATGATAACAATTACAATAAGAAAACATTTACCTGTTTTATTAAAGCTATTATAGACTGCAAAGAGTTATAAAAATGACTTGGATTTACATTAACTTGTACATTTTCTTATGTTCTTTTCTTTCTTATTTTAAACCATAATATTATTATATACATAAAATCATTTTCAATCTTGACTATTGATTAAAATAAATAAGTATTAAAATATATGTAAATAGCGACAGATTAATAAAGAAAATATCAAATGAATTAAAATATTGTTAACAATGAATCAAAATACTTGACAGGCTGATATGTTGCTTCAGCGCGCTTAATATTGTTATTAATTGTTCTAAAGAAAAGAAAATGTTGCTGTACTGTATTACATTTCAAAGGTGTATTATAATTGTGTTTATTTTCTCGCCGCCATTAATTATAACGGTATTATTTGCAAGACGTAGCTGATATAACATTGACATTCGAAATATTTTGTATTCAATACTAGTAGCTCAGTAACAGTTTTGAGTTTCTTTTATAACAAGACTATCCAAATATTTTTTTTTATTTTTTATTTTTTTGTTTTTGTATTACATAAAATCATTTAGAATTTCTTTTATAAGTATCAATTGATTTACGAAATATATTTTCTTATTCGATTGTATTATAAGAATATTAATAAGCAATGTAACAATCGCGCTATTACACTAATTTATAATTTTGTAATCATTCTGTTAAATTATTGTAAATTCACGCGTATCTGATCTAAATAGAAATTTCACAAGAATTTTCGGCGCGCTTAATGACTGTTATCTAGCCACGTCAATTTACAAATAAAAAAATAATGTTTTTTATTTATTACTGTGCCGTTCACTTGTAATTACAATACGTCTGAGCTGTCGCTCCCGTTTGCTATGGCCTCTGTACGATATGAATTTCGAATATTTTGGACTCAAACGATTTAAAAACCCCTAGCACTGTTAGATTCATGACATAGACAGACTCCACAAATGCAAATTCCATTCTCAGTATTATTGTTATCTCATTTTTATATTATTATCTACAATATTTATACAAATTATTGATCTTTCTCGACTTTTGAAATTTGAAAAATATACAATCTTAATACGCGTTACTAACTACTATATAATTGGCCTTTCTTTTTTAATATTTTAATTTAGACTTTGCAGCATTTGCATTTATCTCGATTATAAATAAAATGTCTCAAATTAAAATGATTAAAATGTTAACAAACGACTTCTCGGCAGTAAAGGCTAATAAAGGGCTAAATATTTTTTGTTTTTATTACATGAAAAATAGAGAGAGAAAAAATTAGCTTCCCGTATTTTATGCATCCGTTATAAAGTTAAGTACAGTTGTTGCGCCGTTATTCTTATACATAAAGTAAAAAGGCAAAGCAATATGAACGAACGGCAGTATGGCCATCATTGTGAATATGAATATAATAATGAATGATTTACAAACATCTATATTATTCATTAAGTTTCGATAAAATTAATAAATTAATATCAATGTCGACGCAATAGATAATTTAGTATAATAAAACAATTTGTTTTTGAATTTCAGCTTTTTATTCGTCTTTATACCTTTACTATTGTTATTATTGTTATTGTTATTATTACTATATACATACGCATAAGAATTTGTTTTATATTTTTATATTTATTTAATATTTTATGAATACATGAGATGTACATTCTTAAATGCATATAATCGCACAGTTGTATAAATAGAATTCTGCACAGCAACAACGAGCATAATATATTCAATTCTGAATGTTAGCGCATTGCTTATAATATATGAAATATATCATAAGATTATTGAAATCTCAATTATTTTATTTCAGTAAAAAATTAGAATTTATTAATTCATCATATAACAGAATATATAAATCTACATAGATAAAAAGCGTATGTTATATAATAGCAAACTTACCATAGAAAATCAAATTTCGTATAATTAAAACTAATATATCTATCAAAATATTTTAATAATTATAATGAAAAAAAGTTCGATACTTCGTTTCGTATTGTAATAAGTACACATTTTAATATCCATTATTTATTGGTTTCATTAATATTACTTTACTATTTAAATTTTTATATCACAGTAATAATTTTTTGATTATTTATATATGTCGAAAGTCGGGCATATTGCACGTATAAGGTAGAATAAATACGCCTTAATAAATTAGATATAAGAAAAATCTATAATATTCAATTAATATACGCTTTAATAGTGCGGGAAACTTATTTTAAGTTAATTGAAACATACATCTGGAAAAGGTTATAAATAGAGGTAATCGAAAGCTCTTGTAAAAATATTTGAGAGAGTAACCCTCGCTTTAATAGAATCCATTAAATTCCATAGTCCACATATAAAAGTCAATAGTGCAGAAGTTAATTATTAAAATTTATAAATGAATAATCTTGAATTTTATCATCAAATAGAAAATAAACAAGCATACGATGATAATTGATTTTTATTTCAACTCGAACGTCCGTCCTTCTTAAGAGATCGTTCTTGGCTTGTTTTCCAATGTATGAACAATTACTTTCCATCTGTTCAAAAACATAAAAATAATCTAATTTTTACCCGATACACCTTACAAAATTTCTATTTAAATTGGAATAACGTTTAAAGTCCTGTAAAATAGCCTAACGTTCGAAACATGTTCTAGGGGAATAGTATGGCAACTACTATGCGGTGCCCACGACTCGCCGGCGAAAAAGGAATTCGCCCATTACATAAAAAGTACATCAGCCTGTGAGAGGATCATCAGGCGAGATATTGCCCGCACTTATCCAGAACATGAATTCTTCAAAAAAAAGGACGGACTCGGACAGGAGAGTCTCTTCAATGTCATGAAGGCTTACAGTTTGTACGACCGTGAAGTCGGTTATTGCCAAGGCTCCGGATTTATTGTTGGCCTTTTACTCATGCAGGTTGTCAAAATTCGGATTTTGTAAAATAAATGTAAAATAAATAACCGTTGTTTTGAAAATATGTAATTTTATTATTATTAACTATACTTTTAAACTTAATGCAAGCATATGTATTATAAAGTCGTTAATTATAACAATTGTTTCTTAGTTTCAAGCGTTAATATTGTAATGGCTTGTAAAATTTGTTATTCCCTATATAAATAAATAAATAATAAAAAATTCCAATTGTTTATTTGTAAAAGTAAAAAGTCAATCATAAAGCATACCAAACGTATACATAAAAAAGTCTATAGTTTGTAAAAATAGTCATGTTTTTCTTATTTAAAAAAAAAAAATAAGAATATAAATTATTTTCATTAAATATTTTATATTATATACGCGTGTGTGTTTATATGTATGTGCGCATAAATAGCATAAATAAGAAATAAATAAGACTTATTTTTAATTTAAAATTTAAGTTAACCGAAGAATTAATATGTAAATACAAATTATATTTGGTATCTCATAATTGATTTAAAATTCCTCTAAAGGAAAGTATAATGTACGTCGAAATATCTTACAGAAATACATTGAATACTGAAAGAAATAATTTCTATTAAGTACAAATAATATTTACAAATGAAAAAAAGTACAGTTTTACAAAGTCTTACAGCAATTTTACAGCCAAAATTATTCAAACTATTTTAAGGAAGTAAAATTTTATTTTTTAATATATATTTTCAATATAAATATCAAAATTGAAATATATATATATTTTATTTACAAATTCTTCACTAATGTATGACATTCTGATGATCAATGAGGCATTATTTATACCAAAATATTTTTTACATAATTACATATTTGAAGAGAAATGATATTAAAACTTTGATATTTAAAAGTATTTTTGATTAATGCTTTAATATACGTTTATCTAATAATAACAGAATCATAAAGATTATGTAGCCAACCAAAAAATTATATTTTGCGCAATTGTCTGTTAATTATTGAATATTATCTTATAATTTACTATGTAAAATTATCAATTTCAAGTGCATTAATAACCGTTTTTAAAATTAATAATCAAATTTATACTTACAGCAAATGCCAGAAGAGGAGGCGTTTGCAGTTTTGGTTGCCCTGATGCAAGATTACAAACTACGTGATATGTTCAAACCAACGATGGCGGAGCTTGGAGTATGCATGTATCAGTTAGATCATCTCGTGGCTGATATACATCCGGAGTTATTCGCTCACTTCACCGCTCAGGGCTTCCATACATCCATGTATGCTTCTTCGTGGTTTCTCACTCTCTTTACTACCGTACTCAGTCTACCTGTCGCCTGCCGCATCTTCGACGTCTTTCTTTCTGAGTCCATGGAAATCATCTTCAAGGTAGCTCTTGCTATGCTACAACTCGGCAAAGAAGATCTGTTGAGTTCTGACATGGAAGGAATGTTAAAGGTGCCTTTTACATTGAAAATTTTGTATGCCAATCAGTATATTTCGTATTATATTTTTTCCTTTTTTTTTTTTTTTTTTTTTTTTTTTTTTTTTTTTATATATCTTTTATTGTTATATTTTCCCTAAAATACTTCTTAGTTTTACTATAAGGCATACATTAAAGCTTTCAAATGCATAATACTTATGAAAGTTTAAGAAAACAGAATAGTTTGCATTAAAAATTTGTATTTAGATAAATTATTCAAATATACCACAATCACATACTGCTTGATTGTTAATTTACTTTAATTTATAATAATTTTGATAGATAGATACAATTAAAATGGAACTTATTATTACACATATGAAAATCGATTGAAAATTATAATTAAATATGTAAAATAAAATCTTTACAGAGTTTTAAACACTTTAGTACAATTTATTTCGACGAAATTTCCGTTTATAATAACAAAATGCTAATGAATATATAATAATTTAAAAAATGATTAAATACGTATTAAGATATTTATTTATAAAAGCTTAATTTTATTATAAACAATAATAATGATAATTTTTATATTCTATTTATTTATGACTAGCCTAAGATATGAGTGTAGTAACGACATTGTACTATCCTAGTCAAAAAATAATTTTAATTATTCTCTTTAGAATAATAATATAGAATTATAAATAAATCCATGATTTAAAAAGAAACGTTTGTATTTTTCGAATTTTTAGTTTTTTCAAAAGGAATTACCTGGACGAGCTGAGGCCGATCCAGATCACTTGATGAATATTGCTTATAATATGAAAATTAATTCTAAACGAATGAAGAAACTTGAAAAGGATTATACCGTACAGAAAATGAAAGAACAAGAGGAAATGGTGGAACTTCGAAGACTTAGGGCAGATAATAGGCTCCTAAGACAACGAGTTGAACTCCTCGAAGCAGAATCTGCTGAATTAGGTAAAAAAAAAGAAAAAAAATAAAACGTTTTTTTTTAGATATTTGTGGACAAGCATTGCCACTCTTGAACGTTCTTTATCATTTTTATCAATCAAGAGAATTTAAATAATTTTCATTTTATTTTATATAATAGGGAGAAGGAATTGGCTAAAAGCTTATAAAAATGAAATTGTTAATACATATGGTAAAATCTAATTAATTTGTATAAATAATTTTTTTTTAATGCCGTCTTCATAATTACGACAATTACGACATATAACATCCGCATGCACTAATAATAGTAAATTGAATAATTGTTTTACACGTTGATAATTCAATTACTCGTGTCCCTGACACTTATTTTTATTTGGATTTTTCCCTTATGAATTACTGAAATACACAAAAGAATGAATAATAATTTTCGTTTAAAAATGACTGTCCTTGTATCTATTGTAATATTGTAGCTTATAATCATTTTATTATAGATTTTTACCCGTAGAGAGCATCATTTGCTTATAGAATTTATACTTAAGCATTGCATTGCAACTAGCTATATTTAATTTTAGTTTAATGTGCTTATTGTATAGTATAGAAAATGTATTATAACGCGTTAATTACAGAAGCCCGTACAATGTTAGCTACATCAACATCATACGATGTTTTAAGAATAGTGTCGAAACAAAATAAAATTCATTGTCCATTTTGAAAGTCTATAAAAATAGACAAAAATTTTTCAAAATCCTGTCAAAATTAGTGGTAAAAAAATAACGAAAAATCTAATCACTTCAAACATATACCAAACTAAAAATAAAGGTATAAATAAATATATAATATTTATGGATTAACAGTTCGCTAGCGCTCGCGCATTTATAAATTAATAAAGTGTAGCTCGAATTATCAATTTTTTATCTTACTGTATCAGCCGATAGACTAGTGAGAGGTCAGGTGTCGCGTGCTGAGGAAGAGGAAACGGCTTTCGTAATTCAGCGTGAATTGACGGCCCTACGCCACACTCATCTAGAGACATCTCATCAGCTGGAGCAGGCACACGAAGAGCTGCGTTCGCTCTCTACTCTCCTCGAGGAAAACCTAAACTCGAAGCAGTCTTCTCTTGACGAGATAACTTCGAAACAGGAGGCCTTGACGCAGAAGGATGAAATGATACAGTGTTTACAGGAAGAGCTTGTGAGAGTGAGACTCCATGAAGCGGAGAACGACGCAACGATAAGAGATCTCAGCTCCAGGATTCAAGAACTCGAGCAAGACAAAAAGACTCTGAGGGAGAGTAAGCCAGACAATTCTGTGGCCCATTTGCAGGAAGAGCTAATCGCGGTTAAGCTAAGGGAAGCCGAGGCTAATTTATCATTGAAGGTAAACAATACCTTCGTTTTTATTATTCACTTTACTCGACTGTAAGTCATGAAAATCATTGTTAACCGCATAGAGCTTCATTGAGCAATTTTTATTGATTGCAATATGTTGAATTTTTAGATATTTTTCATTTTTCTAAATATTAACAACGATTATTAAGAACTTGTGTAGGATAATATTGTATATAATCAATGCATATAGTTAATAAAGCATGCGAATATAGCAAAAAAAAAAAAAAAAAAAAAAAAAAAAAAAAATTAAAAATGAATAATAATATATATATATTACTTATTAATCGATAATACTTATCATTATTGCAAATTAAAATGTCATTTATTTGTAAGTATAGTAACTATAATTACACATCTACTTTTAACTATAATTTAATAAAATATAAATTGACTAATTTTTTATCTACTCGTTTTTATTATAATCATTGTAATGAATGTATTATTTGGTGACACGAACGTCTAATAAATTAGAATCATTTAAAATTTATCTACCTATTAAGCGGAATATATGAAAGCATTCTTCGGTTTACGAGAAATTTTCAATTTTTATAAATATACAAAAGATTTAGCTTACTCGCTCACAATAAAATATTCAAATACATAGACAAATATGTCCTATCTCAAAAATTTGCAATTAAAAGTATTGTATTAACAATATAAAATGAAGATAGGCATGCCCTACGTATAATAGAAGAAATAATAATGTTTTCTAAAAATTAATATAATTTGAATACTACAGGATCTTCGTCAAAGCGTCACAGAATTAAGCAACTCTTGGCAAAAGCACTTGCAAGAACATCGGGCGTCACACACCGCTGCATCCGCTGAGTCAACCCCAAAAAAGCTTCTATTTTGGGAGGACCGTGGCTGCGAGGTGCAGAAACTCCAAGAGGATCTTATGACTACACGTATACGTGAAATAAATGCAACAGTCGAAGTAAAGAGCCTTAGGCTAAAGGTTATGGAATTGGAAACACAAGTGCAGGTTTCGACAAATCAATTGCGCCGTCAGGATGATAATGGCAAAGTACTTAAAGATGAGCTAGAGACCGCACTTGCATGGGGCAAAGAGCTTGAAATGAAGCTGAGAGAGCAGCACAACAGGTATACGGATCTTGAATCTAAAATAAAAGATGACACTATGATGGCGAAGATCAGGGATGCTGAACACGCCCAGCAAGTCGCTGAGCTCACCCAAAAGATTTCCATTCTCGAACTAAAGGTGCTGACTTTTTTTTCAATATTATTTTTTTCTCACAACTATTCATTGCGTCAGTGAGCTAATTGGCAAAAAAAAAAACAACAACAAGTGACGTTTAAGCGCTTAATAATTTCATTCTTTAAATAAAAGAACTTTTTATATTCATATAATTTTCATATGGATTTCGCGACTGAATTTAAAATTAATTAATATAATCTACTGTTTCCTTTCTTAAGCTTCATCTGATACTTCTCAATAGTATCGAATAGCAACCTAGAATATCGAATAGAAACAAAAAAAAAATATATATATATATATATATATATATATATATATATATATTATTGTTGATTAATATTTAATTTTAGAATGAAGAAATGTACGCGGAAGGTGAATTAAGAAACAATATGGATGACAGTGAAAGAGTTCGTGAACTGCAAGATAAAGTTGCAGAACTGAAAGCTGAAGTGAGTATCGAAAAGGTATTTATAAGAGGATTTATTCTAATCATGATGTGAAAATATTCGATACAGATTCTGCATTGCAGTAAGAGGTAGAAAATTTTTTTAAAATAAGACATATATTATAATGGTACTAACAATTGGGAATATAACACTAAAAAATATATTGATTTGTTAATACTTCTTACTTCGATGTAATACGAAAATCATGCTTATTACTTTTTTAATTGCTTAACATTGCACTGTAAATTACCACAGCTTCATCTGTATCAATAATTTAAAGAAATAATCAAGTATGGATCCTCTTTACGAAACAAACTAATATTTAAAGAAAATGTATAAAACATTGGTTTTGTCATATAAAGGGAAAATACAAGTATGCTTCTTTGCTTCGATGTGTTAGAAATATTAATTCATGATTAAAATATTCATATTACACTGTTTTGGTTAATCATTTCTTACTAATTTTTGGAAAATCATTTATAATTCATTGTATACCTCTGCTATTTATAAATTTACATTCTAACTTGATAAATTATAATTCAATTCAATACTATAATTTTATACTGCAATTCCAATTGTAGTATATTATAGGCTTACTCTTGCCTTTATTGAATTTTCATATTATTGGGATTTCTAATTTTTTCAAAATTGTTAACAAAAAAGTAATTATTTATACGAAGTGAATATATTTGACAAAATTTATTTATTATCTAAAGAATATAATTATAGTTTGTAAATAAATCATAATAATTTTATTTATATAAAAAATAATATGTCATTAATAGAATAGATAAATATTAATAAATTATAAAATTCAGAGAAAAGCAAACCTTCATTACATTTGGTAACGAATAAGTCATCTAACTGTAATAACTAATATTGATAGAAAAATATTATAATAAAACATATATGTGAATACAATGTAAAGGGTTTTTAATTTTTACATATTCAATATAATAGAATCATAATTATTTATAATAATTAAGCCGTATAATAAATAATTTACAGTTTATATGTGTGTGTGTGTGTGCGTGCGTGCGTGCGTGCGTGCGTGCGTGCGTGCGTGCGTGCGTGCGTGAATGCGTGTGTGCGTGGGCGCGCGCGTGTGTATGTATGTATAAACCATATATACGGAATTCAAATAATAACTTATCAGTTATATATAGAAGGAAACTATTTTTCTTTTCTTTGTTAAATATCCTTGTCAACATAAGAATTAATATAATATGTGACATTATAATGTCAATCGTAAACTTTATATACAAATGAGAATTTATATCTACTAATTATAACGTATTATAAAATATATAACTAATTATAAAAATATAACTAATTATAAAATAATTTTCACTTATTTTATATTGAAATAATATTTAATTTCTATAAAAGTCTCAATTATTCATTAATTAATATTTCAGAAAGATTTATAAATAAAGAAGTCATAATTTCTATTAAGATAATGCTTAAAACACGCCTTTAATCTACGACTAACCCACTTTCTGTTGTGTTTTATCGCATTAGTGTCCTACACCAATCACCAGTCCGGAGATAGAAATGTTGACCTGGCTCGAGTAAGTTTTCAATCACCTGTTTGCATTATTTTCCTTAATCTCCAATGTTTAGTATTGCTTAGTTTTTGAAACGTAATTTAACAATTTTGGAAAAGTATTTTGACCTTATATATCTAATATGGTTATGAATTGCTTAAAGAAATATGCAGTTACTTAATACCATACCTACTTCACGCAATTCTTTAATATAATCGTAATAGTTAAAATATATTTAATAATGAACACCCATTCAAAAAAAATATATATATAAAATTTTTACAATTCTTTTTAAAAGTATCGTGTACAGATATTAATTTTATTAATATACAATTTATTATAAATTGTTTTATGTAATTTTATAATGCTACAATTAAGTAAATATTAATACTTACATAGGTGATTTCATGTTTACAGAGAATTATAAACAATTGTTTATCTTATAAATGAAAATACGTTTAGTATTCAAAGTACATAATTGTGCATCAATTTACAACGAATAATAGTAAATATTGCTTAATTTTTAATAGCATTAGCTCGAAAAGTTCAAATTTTTAAGCCTTTCTAATCTTCCAATATTTCAATTATGGCATTTACATACGGTATATATCTTTTATCGATTGATAGTTATATTAAAATCTTACTCTCACTGCTTTCTTGTACTATTTTTCCTAAATATCCTATCCTTTAGCTAAATCATTTAATTACTGTTAGAATTTTTAGATAAAATATACGTACGTTTTTATGATTATTTATTATGTTAGTTAAACATTTAATTAATAGAGAAATTTTATAGATTTTTGTAAATTTACAATTTCTTATAGTATGTATGTATTTCATATGAATATTCGTTCAATCGAGGCATGAGCAATAACATCTTGTAAAAAGAAAAATAAGTACTTATTTTTAGACATTTGGGTATAGCTGAAAGTAAGTAATAAAAATATAAGAATTATATCATCAATAAACTAACTTACTGATATGATGAATGTGCACATTAATATATTTGTTTTTATTTTAATAAAGTATCAATATAAGTTTTTACGATGTACTTCCTTTGCATGCATATTGAACTTATCACTTTCTAATGCTTTGCGTTAAGGTTTGCAAGTACTATATATTTAATCATTTAATGTGTATAATATATATTATAAAAGTAATTATCATTCATTACTACAATATATTAATAACTTATTTAATTGTCGATTAAAATATTTTTTAAATTATATGTAAATTACTTTATAATTAAAAAGCATTGTCATATATTTTATTATTCTTTGATCTTATATTATAATTCTTTGCTACGTGATAATATTAAAATTGTTCAAATTAAAGTTAAAAAGAAAAGAAGAAAAATATATTGGAATAGATTTGTTTAATTCGCTATAATTAAAATAATAAATAAATAAAAAAAATCATAAAATACTTTATACTTACCTATTCATTTGTATGGAAATTTTTCATTTAATATGAAAATTTATAAATGCCAAAAAAAGTTTCTTCGTCCGATTTAATTAAAATGATAAAATCAATTTATGATATCTTTACATGGAAAGTGTATTTAGTCGTCACATTTGATAATATTTTATATATTGTATTAATAATAAATAAATGTTATGAATTTTATTAGTTAGAAGTGCATGTTACGATAAATATTTAGAATATCTAAACGTAATAATACAGTAGACTATAATAAATAGATAATTTTAAAAATAATGTTTATTATATATATATATATATATAACTTATTTGGTCATAAATATTATTATAATTTATTTTCGAAGTATAGGAAAAATACATAAGAAATTGTATTTATTAAATAAAATATATTTTTTATACGAATGTTATTATTGAATAATAATACATGTATGTATATAAATATTTATATATATATATTTTTTTTTATATTGATATAATTAAACAATGACTTTATGTAAATATAAAGAATCGTAAAGATAATTGGATTTGATTTATTCCAAAAATTTAATAAATATCGAACTTTCATTCAACTCATTTACAAAGAATGATTTGTGTATCATAGTAATTGCTATTTTCATTAATATTCATGGGCAAAAAAGCAGAAGTAAAAGTAAATAATTTGAAAAAAATAATACTTATAATATAATTAACATTTATCACTGTTCGTTAAATTAAATTATCCCGATAAACTATTAAACTAATATAATCTATTTATTTTACTTTGAAAGTATTCAATTTTTATATTAATTGATAAAATTAAATCAATCGTTTATGCCGAAGTCAGCGTACGTTAATAACGATCCTTAAAAATTGAATGAATATTTGTATCTAATAATTACATTTTTATATTTTATACAAATAAATAAGCTAATTTCTGGAAGTGTTACTATTTGAAAAACGTAACTTTCACTGAAAAGAATTTATTTTATTGTCATTAGGAGATCTTAATAATATCGTAAAAAAAAAAACAAAAAAATACAAAGCATCTAATCATTAATATTTAAGATTATAAAACTATGCGCGCTATTTCTTAATTCTGAAGTTATTTAATATATGTGAATTTTTTCTTTAGAATCATAATTTTACCAAATCAAATTGTACAATTTATCAACAATTTAATTTAAAAAAAAAAAAAAAAAAAAAAAATACTAATGCTACTATAAAGTAATGTTTGCAATAATGTTCAATATACTTGAGAATGTAATAATTTGCTGTAGCCTAACATTACTTAATTAATAAGTTATTTTTTACTAACACAGCGTTTTAATTAATCGCATAATAAAATTTATTAATTGATATAATTTCACTCGGCTAAAAGTAAAGATAATGATGAATTAGATGATATTATCTGCCATAAATATTGAAGTAATATTTCACAATAAAAATATGAATACAAAATAAAAATGTATTTATCAATTTATTAAAAATATTATATAATCGCTACTAAGTGCTATTATAAATATTTGCTTTCACGTTAAATTGTTCGACTTCTATTTATGTTCTTATAGAATAATGTAATTCTGATATACTCTATTCGCGAATAATAATATGAATTCTCAATTATAAGGTATTTCTATTGATACCTTACAAAGTAATACTGAAGTAATTATAATATAAATTAGGTCCATGAAAAGACATGTAAATAATTTTGATTTATAATTGCCGATTTTTTTTAATAAGAACTTTGAATATTCTATGAAAATACGTAATAATTATTTTCTCGAAGTCTAAGCCAATATTATATTGGACGAAATTATCATTGCAATAACGATAGCTACATTGATGCATATAAATCTTAATTTCATTGAATTCGATGCGTTTGTACGAGAGCTTGTCAAATCATGGTTATACTATACGTCATTTGTCGCCATAACATGAAACGATATGGGGAAAAAGAAACGATAAAAGAAAAAAAAAATACATGCCTATTGATAAAACTTGAAAAACTCAGACGAAATCAAGGCAAAGAGAGATTCACTAATGTTAGCAGTGCATGCGAGCATTACGTCTTGCATGAAAAAAATCCTCTAAAGTCCCGAACTGCTGTCACCAGGTGTTGAGGCTGGAAAACTGGAAGGAGCGCTGGACGAGCAAAGGAACGTCACCTCCGGTTATGCGTAGCTCTAGTATGGACACGGATGGCGAACTCGACGACAGAGACGACTTCAAGATCTGTCTCCAAGACCACGACGCAGGACAAACATTCGTCGACTCGTAAGGACGCGTCGATCAAGTATTATGCGACTCGCGACTCCGCCTTGTTTACAAACGAGCAATGCATCTTTGATTGATTTTTAGTTTTCTTTTTGCATGAGCGGGCGATCACATAATAGAAATTTGCTTTAACGGTTATTTTATTTTTCAACGAACTACATACCATAAGAAGTCGACGATTAATCTAAATGTATAATGCTGCTTATTACGATTGAGTAGCTTCCTCTTTTCTTAAATTCGTCGGTGAACTTTATGCACACGACGATTATTTTTATTCTATTCATATCTATTCATACGAGTAAGCAGTATGAGCGTTTAATAGTGCAGCTACACGCCCACTAAGTCTTTTCAGTGAAAAATTGCACCTATCGGATTTTAAAAATGAAGCAATTTGAAAAAGAATTCTCTCATCTTGATGAAAGAGCCGCTCGGTAAAAGGACTATAAAGGAAACTGTAATATTAGAGACTCTTGTTGATTAATTTTTTAAAATTATATTATAATATATTATTATTAATGCGCGAACTGTATTTAGTTGATATGTAAGGTATTTTTTTTTATTATTATTATTGTATTTTTTGTATTTTTTGTAATTTTTTTTTTTTTTTTTTTTTTTTTTTTTTTTTTTTTTTTTAACGGTGCACAAGAATCAAGTTTTACGATGGGAGAAAGGAAAATTCGTCAGTGATTGATTCCACGATATTCGTTAGACAAAAAAAATTTATGTTTTCAATATCAAGATATAACAATAATGAGATAATCCATATTAACGGATACTTAATAAAAATTATTATTAAATATTTTAAGTGCTTGTTCGCGCGATCATCTATTCAATTAATGCGATACAAATGTGCCGAAATGCTCTAAGCAATTTTTCACGCGTGCATTACTATGTTAATTGAATTTTACATTTATCACGAGGGACAACGAAGGTTGCTGGCTTACCGTCACGATAGGCAGCTCCAAATTTATCGTATTATCAAATGATTGCGTACTCTGCCAGAGAGAGGGAATATTCTTTGGCGCGGTATTTAATGCCAAGAAATAACTCTTACTTCTTCATTCCATGCTTTTGCATATCGAAGTCGGGCGCGCGGGTGCGCGCGCACACGCATTTTGTTTTAAGATTAGAAAGAAAAGAAATTAATAACGATGTTCTCTTAAGAAGCGTCGCGATCTCTCGCATATATTTTGATAAATTAATCCATTTAAGCGCTTTTCACCTAAAAATCTGAAGGAATTTCTTTTCCATCGGTCGCTCAATCGTCTCGTCGAAGCCCTAGCCAGAGAAAACTTATCCGATCTATAATTAATTTATCTGAATTGAATTAAATTAAATTTATCTTAAAATCCGACCCGTATTTTTAGGCTTTAATTTACTGTGTATCATAACATTTAGTTTTATCTCCTGCGCTATGATCAGAGAAACAAAATATTAAAAATTTGGTTTTAAAATAAAGCATGCCAATGCAGATTTTATTATTTCTATTCTAGCTCCGATTTTAAATATACGCATCGGCCAGAATTTCTTCAGCCACGGCGAGAAATACTCTAAACAATAACATTACAACGGGATGTTCTGCAGAGGGACGGGTGTCTTTAGTCTGGTGGTAATGCATAAAGTGGACATGACACTGAGTCCTACGCCGCGCGTTGATACTTGGATGCATTTAGCGTGAAAGAGCTCGCGCTGTGCGAGAAAAGCAAGCTTCGATTCATCCCCGATAATATATTAATTATTGATGCTGCGGTGCTCGAGCCAATGTATTTTATTACCTCCAGCCTCCCTTTCGCCCTTTCGCTCCATTCCCCGCCGCTTGGCAAAGATAAACTAGACGGGCGTCGATTAGCTTATTATTATTATTATTATTATTATTATTATTATTATTATTATTATTATTACGATTCGCGGTACTTGCTAAAACCAGGTCCGAATCATACGAATTACTAATATAAACAATGTAAAGGTCATCGTGAATTAAAGGGGCTGCAGAAAATTCAGGCAGTCTTATTAAAATCAAAGCTATTGAACTTTCATCGTGGTACTCTGCTTTGACGCGTAATAGTTAAAAATTTGTTTACATTTAAAATTCTATATTGCAATTATATTAATCAAGACTGCAGACGTCACTCTAAATATTTACACAATAAAAGACTGTAAATAGGGAATAACAAACTTACAACCATTATGTTTCAATAATTTTTACGATAATACGTTCTAATTGAGAAATTTTTAATTGTTCGAAATCTTAACAATTAAGTCAACTCTAATGATTTAAAAATATACTTACCGGCGATTGTAAACTAAATATCGCACTAAAATATCAGAATTTTTAAGCTAATTTTGATATTACACATATATACTGCAATTACAATATGAAATAAAAAATGTCAATTGTATTAAATATAATGAAAAAAAAATTGTCACATTGTTTATTTTTATTTCTAATTAATATATTTTATAAAAATGAAAAACGTAAATTATACAAAATAAAAAAAAAAAAAAAAAAAAATGATATATTCTATTAAATAGGAGGTGATTTACAATGTATCAGTATTGTTATGTATAACGAAAGTACGAAGAAAGTGTTTGTGACGATTATTAGATTAAAAATTATTTTTCGTTTTTCGTTTACTAGCCAATATGTACCTTTAAATAAATTTAGTGAAAAATTTTATACTTTCAATAAAAAATGTAATCAGTATAATAACGAATACCATTTTTCCAAATCTTTTAAAATGATGAAATTACTGCCTCTAAGCAGAATGCAAAAAGTCTTCAAATATTGTGATAAGTGACTTAAAAACTACGCACACTATAATAAACAAACGAAATTAATAAATAAAAGAATATTTACTCTTATAAAATGATATTCATTTTAAACTTAATTAACTATATGATTAATTTATTTAAAATGGCCAATTATGCTTATATAGTTTATATCGCAAAAATAATTTTATATTTATGTATAATCTCTCACTCTCTCTCTCTCTCTCTCTCTTTCTCTTCTCTCTCTTTCTCTTCTCTCTCTTTCTCTCTCTTTCTATATATATATATGTATGCATATGATAAAAATAAATATATATATATGTGTTTATATATATATAGATATGTACACATATATATATTTGTTATACATATACAAATGAAAAGCATTTGAAGCTTTTTCATTACCTCAAGCTTTTTTAATATTTATAAATAATACAGTATAATATACATACGACAATCGCTGTGACAATTTTTTTTTTTATTCAAGCGATATAAATATAATTCAACCTTTACGACTGTATATGTTTAAAAAAAAAAAAAAAACATAAATTAAAGTATATGTTTTTTTATAAAAAAAACGTATCAAAAAATTTATTTTATCGATACTAAAACAAAATTAACGATACAAAATAGTTTATACAAAAAATTTATTTATTAGAAGAAAATCTGTAGTTTAGCGGCTGTTAAGAGTTAAGAAAATAATGAAGGAAAATGATACATTTTTCGAACAATTAATGTAAAACATGTTTAATCGAAATGCAAGCGCAGATAAAGGAAAATTAGTTCTGTATTCTTAAATTTATAAACACATTCATAAAATTATTAAATATGTATAATTGTCCGATATTAGTCGTGTCTTACTTATTCCTTTAATATCGCGCAATCAGAGTGTTTGTAGTTTTTCTATCGGTGGTTGAACATATCACACGCAACACTTAAATTTTTTCTTTCTTTTTTTAATTAATTAAGTTCGATAATTGTTTATAATTATTACTTTGTCGTTATCTAATAACTTTTATCACCGAAAATATAGGAGAAAAGCAAGGACAATTTTTTTTTTTTTTATTTCAACATACGAAAAAATGTATCATACGACTAAAAAACCGTTCGGATCATTTTGTCATAAATCGCACAATAAGAACATTATAAAGTTTCATTTATTTTCCCGTTTTATTTGTTGTAAAAAAATTTTGTCAAAAAACTCGCATTTTCATTGAAGCGGAAGAAATAAAAATGATATTTTGTCAAACAGAAATTCATTTTTTCACAATTGTTGACAACAATTTTTTAAATGAATTGTTATTTCTTATACATACAGTATTATTAATAAAAACAGAATATTAAGTATTACTTGAAGAGTATTTAATTGATTACAGAATATAAGGTTTTAAACAAACTAATGTTATCATCGACCCTTTCAATTCGTATTTCACAACGTTGTATTTAATCTTTAAGATTTAATCTTTAATCGAAGGAGATACATTTTGCTGTTAAATCATGACTATCGTTATTTCTCCATATTATTAAAATTATCGTATTGTAATAGAGAAAATATTCGGAAGAAGTTAATGAATGCGTTGAAGAAGAAGAAAAACAATATGATTTCGTTCAGATATTTCATAATGACATGTGAATGAGATGAATGTTGTTAGAAACCGCAATAATTTTATGCCAAACTGACTGTCTTGCCTTTTGCTTTCACCGAACTGATCAGTGATAAGCAAAACATGAAAAGTTATGTATTGGCTTTACTATTTTAATATCTGTCGAGTGCAATAAATTCGTGATCATATGAAAATCTCGAATGCATGGAAATACGATATCGACACAATGTGCTCCATATGTTTTACTATATTTTTCATGAGGTTTCATTATTATAAAAATAAACTTATCTTTAATTATTAATTTCTTTTAAATATTAGAATATTTTAAAATTAGAGTCATAAATTCGATGCGGCTTTAGTTTTCCACTTTTAATGCAATACATCTTCCGATGATTTACCATAACTTCTTATGTCACTGTTATTAATGAAAAAAATTAATTCGTTGAAAATCAAAATTGCACAATTCTTTGTTAAATAGACGTTTTTCATAATCCGTAGGAAGATTCGCCTGTAACATATATATAGGCCAGATCTTAATAAAATGATCATGTAACGAAAATATTTTAACAGTTACAATATTTTGCATAGGCGGAACACGGTGAAATTTAAATTCTGTTCTAATATCGCAACCGTAAATTGTCATGTCCTTGTTATAAGAATCGATTATCAATAATATAATCACTAATAATACACAAACTCAGTCTATGTTACTGATAAAAAATATTACTAGTGTTTGTTTACTTAGCAACATCAATGTAGTTAATTACGTTGTATCTCGTCTCAAAGATACTACGAATTCTACTCATCTTATACATTTTTTTACTTATGTTATTACTTGAATAATTCTATTTTTTAATGTCACATTTGTAATCTTGATATTATTAAGTAATAAATAATTTTATTTTCTAATAATTATCAGTATTATTTTGAACATTAGAAATTTGTTAATAGGATTTATAATGTTATGTATTTCTTCGACGATAAGGACCAGTATGGAATTAAAAATTAATTTTAATTCGCTTGTAGTAATAAATTACGAAGTTATATTGGTTTTTTTTTTAAGTGATCTTTGATAAAGTTAATTTCGATTTTTTAAACTATTTAAATGTTTTTAAATGTCATATAACGTACATACACATTCATATATTATAAATAAAATTTGTGTATTAAATTATTTTCATAATTATATTTTAGCTAGAAACTATTTTACTTTATTACGTTGTATGAAGATGGCTTTATTCATTGGATAGAAAGATGCAAATTTTCAATTAAATTATTACTCTTAATATTATTAAATAATATGAAATATTTGTCAAGTTATGGGGAATCACTGGTATATTAGATCGTATTTAGTTATTTTTCACAATACAAAAAAAGTACATAAAGCTTTTATAAGTAATACAAAAAAATTGACTTTGCTTTTTCTCATTAGTATTACATTTGCGAAATTAATTTGTCAAAGTTTATGAAAAAGATATTTATAATAATGTGGTGATGATTTGTTAATTAATAATAATTAATATGTATGCGTTGTCGTATACGACGTTTTGTTGATAAGAAATTTTACCAAATTTATTGTCATTAAATCTTGACATTTGTACTGCATCTGTCATCGATTCTTTAAACTATTTTAACCGAAACATTTTTCAATGATAAATTCGAAACGAAGCCACAGGAATTCGATTATTATTTTTATTTTAATGTACTTTACAGCGAATATAAATATATAAATATATATATATATATATATATATATATATATATATATAAATTATTTATTTATTTGATTTGAGAAATTTTTCATTAAGTAAAAACATACTGAAGCCAAATACTGTATTAATTTATTTATCATTTATAAATAATCCTTATATCTTCTACACTCCAATTTTATTATTTTTCATTAACTCTGCTTAATATTATTGCGATTTTTAAATTATATATTTAATTATACACAGTCTATAAGTATATAATTAATTTTATTATTAAGTCTCTCTTATGTTTTATTATAAAGCTATTCGATTGAGCTTCCATCGATTGATTTCTTCAAAACGACATTTATTATCGAAAATTATTTTATTTCCTAGTGTTAAAATAATTATTCGTATATAATTAGTTTGTATTAATAATAAATGTCTAACAGAAATTATAAAGTGCAAATAATTGGTCTACTCGTATAATATTTTAATACATTTTTATTTACAATACTTTTCCTTAGTTATTTTGAATGACCATTTCAATTCGCATTTATTATATATTAAACGTTAAACTCACATGTATAAAAGTCTTGATTGATTATAATTACATTCTTCTGAATTGGTAAAGTAGATTTAATTAACGTTTTTTACCATAAATTTATAAAATATGAAATTTACAACTTTTAGATTTTAAATATTACAAAATAATAATAATAAAAAAAAATAAAAAATAAAAAAAAAAAAAC